TATATATATATATATATATATATATAAAGCTTCTTATTTAACTCCAAGATTGATGAACAAAATAAATTAATAATAATATTGATGAATAACAATAAAAAATACACATTTATTAGACTATAATGAAAATATAATCAGCAAGTGGGAAACATAAAATACCGGTTACAATAAGGATTCCATTAGTAAATGTATTTACAAACACGGATAAATGAAGAACAGTACATTTTTTACAGTACAGTATATATTCATCTTTCTTAATGTTAGTTAATGGAAATAATGTTGGTCATTGTTAGAACGAGTTAACTCAAAGTGCATTAGTTAATGTTAACTAATTTGAATTTTAATATTGCATTAGTAAATGTTGAACTATGATTCATAAATACTGGCAATACATAAATACAGCCAATACTGCCATTTTTAGATGTTTAGTTCATGTTAGTTGCTAAAATGATCTAATGAAACCGTAATGTAAAGTGTACCAAAAATGACTTTAATAAACTTATTAGAAAATACAAAGGCAATTTCGCTTCACACCTGCCGATATAAGATATTAAAGTGCCAGGTATGTATTGTATATTTTAATGGCTTATGCTTTATATATTAGTAATATTAGTAAATTACATTATATTAACCTGACTTATATCATCCTGTATGACTAAACATAACATGGGTAAACTATTAGTCAAATGAAAACATACAATTCTCATGACTTATTGATAATACTAATAAAATCTGTCTAAATAAAACCGCTATAGATCCTATATGGATTCAGACTTGCAAAATGGAGTCTCTTCACAGCGTATTTGATGTATAATTTCATCAAACCTACACAGTAGAAAGTGTTCGTAGAAAAACTTTATTCACTTCTTGTTCTCAGGAATTAACCATTTCTGTCATTAGGTTTATCATTTACATTGCAAAGCACACCTTATAATACTGCAAGAACATGATACAAATGTGAAGATAACAATTTACGTCAATATCACTGTAAAAGTAATATTAAAGACATTAAATAATAATAATAATTATGAGAAAGTGTCTTTAGATGCTAACGCAAGCAGCTATTGCAATGATTGCAGTGCCCCCATGCGGTTCAATGGCACTATTGCAGAAAAGCACAGATTTGGTTGAGCCTTATGTGGACCACAAGCACACATTATTGTTTGTGTGTTATAAGGTACAAATTATTGACCAGAAACTAAAAAATAACTACATAAAACAAATCGTAATATTACTATTTACTTTCTTCTAACAATGTGAAGAAAATGTGTGAAGGAACAAATAAATCAAATTATTTTTCTTTTTTTCTTATATAGTTTTGATGATGATTTGTTATATTTGGATGATATTTGAATTTTTTTTTTCCTACCTTAATTTTGCTGCTTTGCAAAATGTAAATAGTTCTCATTGGGCCAGATTATTATTATTATTATTATTATTATTATTATTATTATTATTATTATTATTATTATTATTATTATTATTATTATTAATTAATTAATTAATTCATTTATTCATTCAGTTTCTTTTCAGC